TCCAATTCTTTATTCGTATTGAGGAGCTTTTCTGTGCATAATAACTTCTTAGGAGAGCAATTGTTTCAATATTTTCGACATTTGAGCTGTAATAATGAATTAGGGATTCATCCTTAATTGATGCGTGGATGGGGATTGAATTATGTGAAAGTAACATTTATAAGACAAACATGTAATCTTTCATTATACTTGGCTAAGAAGAAGGGATTTATGCCCTTGGGATATTTTTGATCAGCACCTTTCATTATACTTGGTTAAGACAAACATGTAATCTTTCGTTCCGGAAAATTCTTTAGCTATTTCATATGGCGAAAAATAAATGCTTATATTAGGTAAATTAAACCTTCTTTATCTTCCGTTTTTTAAAATTTCAAATATAGTCACAATGCTAAATTGTCAACAATAAATAGGAGGTATCATGGTTGCTCATAGATGCAATTAATGGATGCATACACCGTAACAATTAATTGCAACTTTTCATTAGTTTATTGTAATTTTTTTCTTCAAAATTTTATTATCTAGGGGTAAGGGAAGGGGAAATGGTGGAGAAAATACAAAGTGGGGAATCGAATCCTCACTAACAAGGTAAATAAATAATTTCACAATTTGATAAACAAGCACTTATTTTCAAATTTTTCTAAATTTTGAAATAAGTTTAAAAAACAAACAGTGCCAAGTAAGAGTCAACATTTCAATTAATAAAGTAGTCAGAAAATCAATTATTAGAGAACACAATGGAGTAGCTAGTTTCATCTTCTATGCCCCCACACAATTATAGCAATTTTGGAGTACTTTATTTTGTGATTTAACGTACACTGTGCAGAGTGCATTATAGAATGCCGACAAAGAAACTTGAAAGACTTGTATCTGTTATTGGTTTTAATACTTATATCTAAATACGTATAATGCTGGTTGTTCACAAAATTATTTTGGACAAAATTATTCTCATTGTCGGTTGGCCCAACATTCTAATAAAATTGGGCCTATATTTTCCCTTCTTACCCGGTATGGCCCAGTTTCTATAATGTTGAAAAATTATTTTCACCGATTAGCCATATCATTGTTCCCACTCTTTTTCTTTATGCGGAGGAATTTTTTCCATTCACAAATCAATTTTCTCTTTCAGATTTTCTCCCCACCCCTCTTTCTCTTTCATTTTCAATGCGCTCTTGCTCTTTCTCTCTCTCTCTCTTTCTCTTTCTCTTTCTCTGGCAAAATGGTCGAGTTCTTCTTCAGATTTCCTTGCTCCGTTCATTTGTATCTTCCTCTTCCACAAAATAACACTGTTGAAAAATCCACACTGGATCTATCTTTTGTAGTCTTTTTCTTTTCGATTCAGTGCTCGCCGAAGCCGATTCCGACTTTCACATTAGAGGATCCTTTTATTCCCGTTCAAAGAAAAAGAAAATATTGAGTGGTTATTTCTTTTAATTCTTGTCTCTTATTCTAAGTTATGAAATCTCCTTTTTTTGGTAATTTTTCCTCCTCCTCCTCCTCCTCCTTCTTCTTCTCACTTTTAATGACTTCCGAAGGGAGGAAGAATGATGTATATGTTGTATATAACTATATATACTTTGTATACTCATGTATAACCATGTATATTTGTGTGTATTCTCATAGTTATACAGAATTATACATGATTATACACAAGTATACAAGATTATATATAATTATAACTATGTATATTTGTGTGTATTCTCATAGTTATATAGAATTATACATGATTATACATAATTATATAACATAGATAATTGTAAAAAAAATTGCCTTCGGATAGTGTGTATTATTATATATTTATGTATAATTAACGTATAACAATGTATATAAGGTGTTTAATAATGTAAATTTTTATTTTTTCCAGTGAAATAAGAATTTCCCTTACAAAACTTTGAATTTTGCAAAAAAAAATAAAAAAAAAATTATAGACTTTAAGGATGAATATATTTTTTACTTCAACTTCCTGATATTGTGAATTTTAGGAAATACTATACAGAGGGAAGTAAAAAATAAATAAGAATAAAAATGNCAAGGCAACTATTCACAGCAGAACAACTGCAAGCAAACAAATGGATTGTGACCTCAAGCACAGAAAACACAATCCCCAACAAAAACAATTACTTTTCTTTCTTCATCGCACAACAATCAAAATTCCTATAAATTCCACAGAAAAACAAAATCATGACAGAAGCACAACAATCAGAATAGTACAAATTCCACCAAAAGTCCCTTTGTTCCAACTAAGGCCTACGCATCATAACTCATATAAGCAAAAAAAAAAAAAAAAAAAAAAAAAAAAAAAAAAGCAAAATCTCATTTAGGCGTGATTATGGGTGTAGTTGATGAAGTTCGACGAAATTTGCGAGTTTGACTTGTTTTCATAAAATTGATTAATGTTGTGGGCTACCGGATAAAAACCATATTTATGGGCTAGGCGGGTGAAAAGTGTTTTCTCCAAGTGTATTTTCATGTAAATTTCCCATTATTTTGGACCCACTTAAATTGCTTCCGTACTTAATTCTTATCATCTCTGTTAATTATATTGTCAGACAGACTCATGTATTATTGAATTTTAAATAAATATTTTTAAAATAAAACCACCGAAAATTTTACTAGGTTGAAAATCAGACGAACTTAAGAAAATTGAATAAGTGGGTAAGACACATAAAATTAGCAAGATCATTTCTGTATTTATGATAAATAATTTGTCAAAGATGGTCGCTATCTAATTTAGCATGACAATGAAGTATCACAAGTACTTCCATAATACTAGCAAAAGGGGCTTGCACTTTCTTCCCTTCTTCCTAGCTCCCTTCGTTCTAATTTAATTTATATCGCGGTGTTTGAATTTTGGGAATCAGACGAGTTTTTCTTACCATATTTTGTATATGTCTTTTAAATATTTTAGATTATTAATTATTACTTTATCCGTTTTAATTTATGTGTCTTAGTTTGACTGAACACAGAGTTTAAAAAAGTAAAAAAGACTTTTAAATCTTGTGGTCTTAAGCTACAAATGTGTTAATGCATTAAAATGTCCTTGAATTTTGTAGTCTTAATTAAATATGTTATGTGGAAGTGTTGAGTTAAAGAGTTACTAAATATAGAAAGAAGTATTTTTTTTGTAACAAACTAAAAAGGAAAGTATGACACGTGAATTGAAATAGAGGGAGCAGTACTTTTTATGTAGTTTCTGAATATGTTAATTTTATTTAAAATTAAAAATTTAATGTCCAAAAATAAAAAATAAAAAAATGATTCTTCAAACTCTACCACATAAATTAATACAAAGGGAGTACAGTATTACTTTTGAAAAGTACTCAGCTTGTCAATTAATGTTGATTTTGAGGTCCATGAGGAGGTACTGGACGAAGAAGGTGAAAGCGAAGGGTTTTGGCAAGTTTCTCGCTAATAACTGAAGGAAGGGTTTTTTGTTTCCCACCTAGTGTTAGGAACTCGCATTAAAAGCTGTTTAAATTAGGACTGAAAATCTCATATTGAAGAATAAATTGCTCTCCGTGTACGGCTAAAATCGAAAATAAAAGTTACCCCTAATTTTTCGATGAAGAAACGAAAGACAATGTGGTTCGATGTTGGCTCGGGTAAAGCCGAGGGCGCCCATAGATCGAAGCCCGGGGAAACGAATGACACGTCAATAATCGGGCATGGCCAAACATGGGAAGAACCGAGCTTAAACAAAACAAAGAATCGATAGGTTAAAGGGAAGACCGAATGAAGAGCCGAAATATCCGTCATTAACCGGATATTGTGGTGTGGATCACGCCCGAAATCAACTGCGGATCGTATTTTACTAGAAGAAAAAGATTTTTACCTTATTTAGACTTGTATTAGGATTGAAACTCCCATGTTATATATAAATGAGAGAACCTTTTTCATTTTTTTACCACCGTTGGCAAGCATGTCAATGCAATAAAGTTTTTTGTCTCTTAGCTATTGTTCAAAGTGTTCTTCAACTGTTCATTTCTTAGCTGTAACCGAGCTCATCTCGAGGACTCGATCGAAACCGATTTCCCAGTATTCAAATCTAACGTCAGGCTTAATTGTTTCATCACATTTGGTTTGATCGCTTTGTTTTCTTTTAATTCAATTATTTATTGTTCTTAGATCATTTATGTTAAATTAAATCACATATTCTTTAAACCGCGTACGAATTTAATTGTTACTCATTTTAAGGTAAACACATAGGAAGAAAGGCTAATTCGTTCGTTGCCTCGAGTTTTCTGGATTATAATAACGAGGATGAGTGGAAGGAACATACTTTGTGGGTCTATTGGGTCAAACGAGAAATAATGTATGTGCATATTGATGAAATTTATTTGGAATTTAACTACATTCTACCTCTAATTCTCCAAAAGAATTTGTGGATATTTTTTTGTAGAGATTTTACATTGCTTTTTTCCACATTTTGGGATGAGGAACCTCCTTTAACAGAACATTTTAATATACTATTATAAACAACCTAAAATAAGTTCCGGAATTGACAACTCCTACATGCATGACAAAGACTAATCTTATTAAATGCCCACTCTCCATTGACATTAAGGCATTGCATTTTTCTATAGCAATGAAAGAAAACGATTGGCAATAAATAGATGGAGTACTTTCTACTTCCTTTCCCGTCAATTCTTAGTGGCCTTTTAGACATAAGAATTATGAAATTTCGGAGATAAAAGTGGAAAAAAATTTCAAGTAAAAATGGTATTTGAAAATTAGAATTATGTTTGGACATGAATACAATTTGGAACTGGTTTTGATTTTTTCTGAGTGATTTGAAGCAAAAAGTTTGAAAAATAACTTTTTGGAGTTTTTAAATTTTTTAAAATATTCTAAAATAACTTTAAGTGAAATTTGAAATTTTAATGGTAAGACACTAATTCCGGAGAAAAAAAAAGTAAAAAACTTTTTTTAATGGCCAAACGGGCCCATAATAGATTATAAAAAAGCAGTTGGTTCCCGTTAGAAACAGACCAAACAAGAAAAAGAAAAGTAAGGCAAAAACTTGACATACCATTTTGCCATTTCATATACAAGTCTCCAAATAATCTCCAAAAAAGAAAAATGGTTGAACCATCACTAAGCTGGCCAATAATAGAAAGGTGCATTATGCAGGGAGATGAATTTGGAAATTGGGCTCAGTTCTTGCAAGCCATCCTTGTCTCTTTAGCATGGTTTTTCGATGTTCAACAAACATTCATAAGTGCTTTCACTGATGCACAGCCATCTTGGCATTGCACATCTCCTCCTCCTCCTTCTTCTTCTTCTTCATCAGACTGCAACTCTTTCAACAAGAATGTTTGTAATCTTCCAAAGGATTCATGGGCATGGGATTTAGCAGCTCATACTTCAGTTATTTCAGAGTGGTCTTTACAGTGTGATGGTTCAATTATTACTGGTCTTCCTGCTTCTTCCTTCTTCATGGGACGTCTTACTGGTAAATATCATGGATCCATAATTTAAATTTAATAGGTTCATTGTTTTGAATTTACCAGTTTCACTTTACATGACATGTTGAAGTTGTATATGACCACCATATTTAAAAGCTTAGACATTTAATTAATTTCTTAATTATGGAACCTGCATGTCGAACCGATTCTTTATTATGGGCCAAACACGTGAAAATTGTCTTTGATAATAGGTGGCGGTGAGAATAGAAACTAAGACGTTGCCTGCTCTCATGTTGACATTATGTGATGTCCATCTCATCTAAAAGTTTAATTATGTTTCAATATGATAAACTCTTTCTATTTTAGTCTGTTTCAAAAAAATATTACTCCCTCCATTTCAATTTATGTGAACCTGTTTGACTGGGCGCGGAGTTTAAGAAAAAATAAAGACTTTTGGAATTTGTGATCCTAAACAAGTCAAAATGGGGCCCAGAGTATTTGTGTGGTTATAAAGGCTTCTCATTAAGGGTAGAATTGTAAGTTTAAGCTAAATTGTTATCAAATTTAGAAAGGGATCATTCTTTTTGGAACGGACCAAAAAGGAAATAGATTTACATAAACTGGAACAGAAGGAGTACTTCATTTTTTTATACTTCGAAATGATTTAACTTTAACCTTATCATTTAACCTTAATGACATGATTTCATAGCCTAGAAATATCATAGGATAATTAAGAACTAAGACTACTGTTGGATATGTATGAACAAAGTCTTACCTGCAAAGTAGAAAAGCAAAAAAGCTACTTATAAAGAGTTGGATACTCTTAATGATGCGAGGTCTTTTGGAGAAAACCGTGGGGGCGTGACCCAAAACAAATAATATCACATAATGTTAAGAGTATTATTTTGGGTCGTTTTAGTCCAACAACTATAAGTTTTGAAACTCTTTCTTTCTTCTTTCACAATAAAACAAAAGGAATGGAGTAATATTTATACTACTTATCAAGATTTTCTGCATATATATCTATATTACATGCTAAATATGCATGATTGGTTACAGTGACGGACCCAGAATTTTGTGCAAACGGATTCAATCTTAGAAGTATATAATTTTAGTCGTAAAATAGTAGTTGTCAAGTGGGTTCAAATAAATATTTATACAAAATTTACACAACTTTAATTCTAATTTATACATATACATAGTATTATTTTTTTGTGAAGTGGGTTCAGTTGAACCCGCTAGCCACCACTTGGGTCCGCCACTGATTGGTTAATTCAATTGAATCCACTCTTGACACTCTAGTTGTGCATCTGCTTACAGGAGGTTTCCTTCTCACTACCTTCGCTGACTCTTCACTTGGCAGGAAAAACATGTTGGTTCTTTCATGTCTATTAGTGGAACAGTTACTGTTTTTTCTACCAACATATGGATGTATTCATTCTTGAGGTTTCTTTCTGGATGTGGAAGAGCTACAATTGGCACTAGTTCTCTTGTCTTGGCCACAGAGCTTGTCACAAATCAATGGCAAAGTCAAGTTGGGATCCTTGGCTACTTTTTTTTCACTATAGGATTTCTTACTTTACCAGCCATTGCATTTATAACCAGAGGATCTTCCTGGAGACTTATTTATCTCTGGACTTGTCTCCCTGCAGTTTTCTACTCGTTCTTAGTCCATTTCTTTGTTCGTGAATCCCCTCAATGGATTTATGTCATAGAACAAAAATGTTGGGAATAAACCCCCACAGAAATAATATTCACGGTAATAAAAGCGGAATAATAATGTAACACCGAGATACGGTAATTAACAAGAATAAAAGAGTAACAATGACACCAAGATTTTTACGTGAAAACCCTTTTAATAAGGGAAAAAACCACGGCCCCGAGAGGAACTATAGTAAGAAATTTTACATTTTGTAGGTCCGAGTAAAATACTCCAAAGACCACTATAACACTCAAAAGAAATAACTCTCTTTTGATATTCTCACCTCACTACAATATCGATCACTCTCTATTTTCCTCACAGACTATTTTCTTATACCCTGTCTGTGAAACCTCACTCTTTCTTTCTCTCTTTGTTGGTGTGAAGAAATGAGAGTTGAAGCTCTCCTTTTATAGCCAAAGCTTCACTCTCTAAAGCCTACAATATTTGACAATTTACACACACTTTTCACAATTCAACAAAGTTGGCTACCAAACCAAAGAAATTCAACAAGGTTGGCTACCTAACCAAACCAAGTCAACAAGGTTGGCTACCTAACCAAACCAAGTCAACAAGGTTGGCTACCAAACCAAAGAAACTTTTATGAGGCACATGCCTAATACTTCTTCAATGAGATGGACATCATCAATCTCCCCCTCCAGTCTCATTCATCTAGAGGAGGTAGCACTGTCTTCTAATTTGAGTGTATGCCGACAAGTTCTTTGCATAGCTCGAACTTGTTCCTTGGTACCACCTTGGTCAGTATATCTGCGGGATTCTCACTTGTAGAAATCTTCAAGACTTTTAGAGATTCATCATCTACCATTTCTCGAATCTAATGATATTTCACATCAATGTGTTTGGTCCTTGCATGGTACATAGAGTTCTTACTAAGATCTATTGCACTTTGACTGTCATAATAGAAGACATACTCCTTCTGATGCAATTCAAGATCTTGAAGGAACCGTTTGAGCCACACCATCTCCTTGCCAGTTTCTGTAGCGGCAATGTACTCTGCTTCAGTTGTTGAAAGTGCAACACACTTCTGCAACTTAGACTGCCATGATATATCTCCCCCTGAAAATGTAAACAAATATCCACTAGTGGATTTTCTGTTGTCAATGTCACCTGCCATATCAGCATCTGTATAGCCCTTCAAGATTGGATCAGATCCTCCAAAGCACAAACAATCTCCCGTGGTACCTCTCAGGTACCTGAGTATCCACTTGACTGCTTCCCAATGTTCCTTTCCAGAATTTTCAAGAAACCTGCTGACAACACCAACTGCGTGAGCAATACCAGGTCTAGTACATATCATTGCATACATCAAGCTTCCGACTGTTGAAGAATAAGAAACTCTAGCCATGTTCCCTTTCTCTTCCATTGTTGTAGGACACATCTTTTTGCTCAAATTTAGATGACTTGCAAGATGTGTGCTAACTGGCTTAGTATTTTTCATGTTGAAGCGTTCTAGTACACGTTCAATGTACTTCTCCTGAGATAGCCATAACTTTCTATTTGTTCTCTCTCGAACTATCTTCATCCCTAAAATTTGTTGTACTGGGCCCAAGTCCTTCATATCAAATGACTTGGACAAATCTACCTTCAACTTTGCTATCAGCCCCTTGTCTTTTCCTACAATTAACATGTCATTCACATACAACAATAATATAATAAAGTTATTCTCAGAAAATCTTTTGAAGTATACACATGGATCAGAATAGGTCTTTAGGTATGTTTGACTTTTCATGAATGAGTCAAACTTCATGTACCACTGCCTTGGTGCCTGCTTCAATCCATAAAGACTCTTATTCAATTTGCACACCATGTGTTTCTTTCCAGCTACTTCAAATCCTTCTGGCTGCTCCATATAAATCTCCTCTTCCAAATCTCCATGAAGAAATGCAGTTTTCACATCCAACTGCTCCACTTCAAGATCTAGGCTAGCTGCTAAGCTCAAAATTGTTCNTTGTTAGGCTCAAAATTGTTCGAATAGAAGTCATTTTGACAACAGGTGAGAAAATTTCGTCAAAATCAATACCTTTCTTTTGTTCGAAGCCTTTAACCACCAATCGAGCTTTGTATCTGACCAGCTTGCCATTTCCATCTTTCTTGAGTTTAAAGACCCATTTGCATTTGAGTGGTCTTTTACCCTTTGGAAGTTCAACCAGCTTGTATGTGCCATTTTTCTGTAGAGATTCAATCTCTTCTTGCATAGCTTTCATCCACTAGTTCTTTTCTGGATGGGACAGCACCTCCTTAAGACTTTCTGGCTCCCCCTCATCACTGATGAGGACATACTCTGTAGAAGGGTACCTGCATGACTCTACCCTTGGCCTCTCTGATCTCCTCAGAGGTTGAGGTTGTTCTTCTCCTTGAGTGGGGTGCTCCACTTCCTCGACACCTTCATCAAGTTGCTCCCCCTATTCAATAACCTCACAAGGTTGCTCCCCCTGCTCGGCAACCTCGTCGGTCGTACTTTCTGCACTTGTGGGATTGTTAGAAGTAGAAGGAATAGTAACAAAGTTAGGAATTATACCATTCTTCGCCTTTTCTGACATATCAGCAGCAGTTCCAACTTCACTTTCTCGGAAGACTACATCTCTACTTCTGATGACCTTCTNAGATAGGAATTATACCATTCTTCGCCTTTTCTAACATATCGGCAGCAGTTCCAACTTCACTTTCTCGGAAGACTACATCTCTGCTTCTGATGACCTTCTTCTTTACAGGATCCCACAATTTGTACCCGAACTCTTCATCTACATATCCGATAAATATGCAGGGAACAGATTTATCATCCAACTTTGTTCTCTGCTCTTTTGGTACATGTGCAAAAGCTCTACAACTGACCACCTTCAGATGCGAGTAGGGCACCTCCTTGTTGATCCAAACTCTTTCTAGGATATCAAACGCCAACGGAACTGATGGACTCCTATTGATCAAGTAACAGGTTTCCTGAACTGCTTCACCCCAGAATGACTTAGGTAGTTTAGCCATTCTAAGCATACTTCTCACCTTCTCCACAATGGTGCGGTTCATCCTCTCGGCTATGACATTGTGCTGCGGGGTTCCAGGAACTGTCTTTCATGTCTGATCTCATGAATTGAACAATACTCTTCAAATTCCCTTGAAGTGTACTCACCTCCATTGTCACTTCGGAGATGCTTTAGCTTTCGACCCGTCTCTCTTTCTACTAGAGCATGAAACTTCTGGAAAACTTGCAACACCTGATCTTTGGTTTTCAAAATATAAACTCATAATTTTCGTGAAGAATCATCAATAAAAGTAACAAAATATTTGTTACCGCCCATTGATTCAATTTCCATTGGGCCACAAACATCATAATATACTAAATCAAGTATATTTAATTTTCTTTCAGACGATGTCTGAAATGAGACTCTATGTTGCTTACCAAATAAACAGTAGTCACAAGGTTTTACCGTTGTACCTTTGGCATAAGAAATAAGTGATTTCTTGGCAAGAATCTGTAATCCCTTCTCGCTCATAGGACCCATTCTTTTGTGCCACAAATCTGTAGAAATCTCATCTTGTGCCGCGTTCAATTCACCTTGGCATATTTCTGCATTTGTCCTGTACAACGTGCCACGAGCAACTCCCTTTGCAATCACCAATGATCCCTTAGTGAGTCTCCACTTTTGATTTGCAAAATAGCTCTCGTATCCATCTCGGTCTAAAGCAATTCCCGAGATCAAGTTCATCCGCAAATCAGGTACATGACGCACATCCTTTAGAACCAATGTGCATCCAACATTTGTCTAGATACAAATATCACCAATCCCCGCAATTTTTGAGTAACTTGTGTTACCCATTCTCACTGTGTCGAAATCACCTGCTACATATCTGCAAAAAAGATCTCTTATCGGTGTGGCATGGTAAGATGCTGCTATGTCAACCACCCATTCCGACTCTGGACCTGATAGGTGCATGCATTCATCTTCCTCATTTATAAAGAGGACAACATTATCATTGTTTTGCACCATGGCGGTTGTGTTGTCGTCATTCTTATGGCCACTGGTTTCATTTTTGCCCTTCCTTGGATTTAGGCAATCTCTTTTGAAGTGACCTGGTTGATCACAATTGTACCAATTTCTGGATCTTGATTTGGATCGGTTCTTTGACTTCCCACGAGCTCCGGATCTACCATAGTTGTTCGAACTCCTTTGATAACTCCTGCCTCTAACTTCTGTGATAAGAGCATGTCCTTGATTTTCAGGCTTCTTTCTCATCTTCTCATTGAGTAAAAGAGCCGATGTGATATTTTTCAACTCAATAGTAGTCTTACCGTGCAGGATGGTTGTTGCCAAATTATCGTACGAAGATGGCAACGAGCTCAATAGCAAGATGGCTTTATCTTCTTCCTCGATTTTCACTCCGAGGTTGGCAAGCTGTGTGATTAGTCTGTTAAACACATTTAAATGTGACAAAAAAATTCATTCCTTCACCCATATGTAGGGCGTATAACTGCTTCTTCAGGTGCAATTTATTTGTCAGTATTTTGGACATGTATAGGCTTTCCAACCTTGTCCAAATTCTACGTGCAGTATCTTCATCAATGATGTTATTTACCACATCATCTGATAAGTGCAACCTGATTACACTAGCAGCTCTTTCATCCAAGTCAGCCCAATCCTCAGCTTTCATGGTATCAGACTTTTTGGCATCAGCATCTAGTACCTTGTGTAATCCTTGTTGGATGAGCAGATCCCTCATCCTTCTTTGCTATGTTGAGAAACTGTTATCTCTATTGAATTTTGCTACCTCGTACTTTACTCCGGATATTTTTATTTTTCGCCGAGTATAGTACTATCGATAGTGAATAGTATTTCAGTGAACGAGCAGAACCTGTGCTCTGATACCAGTTGTTGGGAATAAACCCCCACAGAAATAATATTCACGGTAATAAAAACGGAATAATAATATAGCACCGAGATACGTTAATTAACAAGAATAAAAGAGTAACAACGACACCAAGATTTTTATGTGGAAAACCCTTTTAATAAGGGAAAAAACCACGGCCCCGAGAGGAGCAACTGATATCACTATAGTAAGGAATTTTACACTTTTTAGGTCCGAGTAAAATACTCCAAAGACCACTACAACACTCAAAAGAAATAACCCTCTTTTGATATTCCCACCTCACTACAATATCGCTCACTCTCTATTTTCCTCACAGACTATTTTCTTATACCTTGTCTGTGAAACCTCACTCTTTCTTTCTCTCTTTGTTGGTATGAAAAAATGAGAGTTGAAGCTCTCCTTTTATAGCCAAAGCTTCACTCTCTAAAACCTACAATATTTGACAATTTACACACATTTTTTACAATTCAACAAAGTTGGCTACCAAACCAAAGAAATTCAACAAGGTTGGCTACCAAACCAAACTAATTCAACAAGGTTGGCTACCTAACCAAACCAATTCAACAAGGTTGGCTACCAAACCAAAGAAACTTTTATGAGGCACATGCCTAATACTTCTTCGATGAGATGCATCATCAAAAAAGAGGAAGTAATCAATCTTTATTCAGCTATCAAGATGTTAATGGAAAAGAATTGGGCATTTCGTCGATTAGTTATGGTAATATGTGTTGGTTTTGGCTTTGGTGTTGTGTATTATGGTATGCCATTAGCAGTTGAGAATTTAGCTTTTAATAATCTCTACTTAAGCAATACGTTGAATGCGTTATCTGAATTGCCAGCTTCTTTAGTGACATTTTTCCTAATTGGGAAATTAAGTAGGAAAAGATCACTTTTAGGATTTGCTATGTTAAGTGGAATATGTAGCATAGGGTGTTGAAGGTGACAAGTACTTCAAGTTGTTGCAAATGGGACTTGAATTGATTTCATATTTCAGTGCTTGTACAGCAGTTGATGTTCTCTTGATCTATGCATTGGAATTATTTCCTACATGTGTGAGGAACTCAGCAATGGCAATGATGAGACAGACATTATCTTATACGGTAACCAATTTGGATTGAGCATAGTAACATGCGGTCTTTTTGTTGTGTGGTTGCCAGAAACCAAAGGCAGAACACTTAGTGATATACCATGGAGGAAGAGGAAAGCAAGGAAATAACATTATTGTTTGCTAATTAGTGTACTAGAGAAGAGTTTTTGCTTTGATTAAACAAAGTTTAGAACCTCAACATTGAATGCATTATCCAAATTTCCATCTTGATTCTTTTCCGTATGGGGAAACTTAGTAAGAAGGGTCCCTACTAGGATTTACTGTGCTAAGTAGACTTTATCAGTAGCAAAGCTAGGAAATTCAATAAAAGTATTCAAAGTCTATATTTTTATCAAATCGGCTAATGGTGACCATCCTTGACCCCACACAGCTTCGCCCCTGGACTTTATAGCATAGGTTGTTTTATAATTGAGGGAGGAAAGTTCAAAGTATGGCAAATAGGGGTTGGATTGATTTCATATTTTAGCGCGTGTATATCATTTAGCATTCTATTGATCTACACGTTGGAACTTCTCCTGACGTGTGAAGAACTCGGCTGTGGCAATGGTGAGACAAGTGATGGTTCTCGGAAGGAGCCTTCAGTCCCATGCTCATCGCAGTTGGTCGGAGCAACAAGTGGTTTTCTTTTGGTGTAGGCATAGCAATATGTGGTTGTTTCGTTTTGTGTCTAACGGAAACAAATGGCAGAACAGAACACCTAGTGATATAATGGATGAAGAGGAGAACAAGTAAGGAACAATTGTCTGTTAATCAAGTCAAGGAATATCATTTAATCTACTGATCACTAATGTATGTCCTATGCCAACAAAAATACAATTTGTACTTTTCTTATCTGAGTAGATTTGATCATGACATTCGCCAATTCAAATTTACTCATTTATTTATGCTTTAGTTATGTATTTAGCTCCCGTTTGGACATATTTTTTTTATATTTTTTCACAAAAAAATTGAAAACACTATTTGTTCATGAAATTTGATTAGTTTTTGAAAGAAAAAAAAATCCAACTTTCAAAAACTACTTTGGGCCAGCTTTGGGTGAAAATCTTTTCTTTCACTCACAAAACTTCAACTTTTTTCAAATAAAATGCATGTTCAAACACAACTTCAACTTTAAAGAAATTATTTTTCAGCCCAAGTTTAAAAAAAATTCAAATTTCAATTAATATATGTCCAAACGCTAACTTAGCATTAGTGTCCACAAGTGAGTTATCTGCCATGAAAATTTGGTGGTAACTTTATCAAGTTGAGATTGGTACAAGATAGTGAATATGGTCAACCCAAGTACTGATTATGCCTTTTGCACATATAAACAGAATGAAGAGCAAAATTATTGTGAAAGCAAACCTATCATGTCTTATGTACACAAATCCACATTATACGGACTTCAAAGTAAATGTAAAGCTTATGAAAATTTTGTTTATTTTTACTAAACCATGTCTCTGAAATAGTGTTTAATTTTGTAATATTATTATTTTACTCAAAGAATAATATATATCTAACAAATGAGGTACTCCTTTTTAATCAAAGTCACCTTAAGGGTGGGGTTGGGTGTATATTGAAGGATTGAAATATCCCGAAAAACAATTTAGGCACAAGCAAGAAATTTAGCAAAAGCTATATAGAAGAAATTTATTAAACTAGGGAGAGAACTTGGTAGGACGGTTTTTTCACAACTCATAAACTCTTGAATCTCTCTACGTCGTAGCTACCTCTTTACAATAAAAAATATGTAGTAGCACCCCTATTTATAATACTACAAAACCAAAATTGACTATAATCTAGAAAACTTATTCCTACATGATTTGGGTTATGAATCCTAATTAGACATAAATTAAATAAATTAGTAAATACCAAATTCTAGGCAACTTAGGAATACTAATTAATCTTGGTTTAATTTCCAACAGCCTCTCTTAAACCAAGATCTTCAAACTTGAGCATGTCAATGAGTAACATCAAGCCTTGTAGAAGTCAAGTACTTTAGATTCTCCACCAATTCCTTAAAATATGTTGCATCAACAAAGTCGCGAGTATCGTCTTTAGTTAACATCAGTTTTCCTTCAATATTGGCCATATATGATTTATCTTTAACCATGGTAAATCCCTTCAAAATATCATCAATATAATTTTTCTTTACTTTGAAATCATCTATTTCTTTAGTTACTTTGTAGTTGGACTTGTACACCCATTCAACTCCAATTGAATAGGTTGTAGATTAATGCCACCAATAGATATTTCGTCTTGCTCCTTGAAACATGTAATCTCGAACAATGGCATAAAATTTATTTTATCTTCGATATCTATAATCATGCGTTGTTGTGGTTCTGGACCCCAAGCTATTTCTGCCTCAAACTTGGGTGGATCATTGGAAACTTTCTCTTGATGAACCATCTTGCTTCTTTCATTACTTGGTTCATCTTCAATACCATCAAACAACTTTTCTTTTGAAATACTAACCTCATTTGGGCTGGCATCCCTTGCAACTAAATCAGCATTTTTATCAATCGAATGAATTTTTGAAAGATCAATTTGAATATTATTTGACTTTCCTTTGCATTCAATATTATCTCTTTTACAACAAAAATTGCATGTACTTTCTCTTATTTTTTCCTCTGTTTCAGAATTTTGGCCTTCTTGATTTATCTTCGCCAGATTTGATGTGTCTTCTTTTTCTTTTGGTTGATCATCCTTTTCTCGTGATGCCTCCTCCAATGTCTCATCTTTTTGTTGATTTAGTGATCTCTCATATGTCAACAATTCACCTTCTAAATCATCAAGTCCGAGAGTGTTAAGATCTTTGGTAGCCTCAAGAATAACTTTCTTGTTGTTAAACTTTAAACTTGGAGACTGCAATACTTTTTCAACAATTTTAACTTCATACAATACTTCTCCATTGATCCTTAGACCATTGACTATTTCTTCAATTCTCGTAAAAAATTCTTTGGCAGACTCTGTTGGTCCCATATGAGCCAACTCAAATTGACTCCTAAACTCTTGCAGTTTCTCCTTTTTTATGTCAGCAACTTTTCGATATGACTTCACCAAGATTGTCCAAGCCTCCTTTGATGACTTTGCATACAAATATTTTTTAGATATATACAAATCGACTTTGATGGCGAGATAGTAATGTACCTTATAATCTAAATGTATTTTCTTCTCCAATTGCATAGTTGCATCACCCGTCAATGTTGTGCCTTCTAGGGGTTCCTCAAATCATTCATCAATGACGGACCATAATTCAATATCCTTAAAAAAAATCATCTGTTAATACCAAGTTTCAAAATTACTTTTGCCCTCAAACACAAAAATAGGAAAATTAGGTAATAGAGTATCCATTTTTTTTTTTGGATTTCCTACCAGCTCTGACATGATCTCGCGCAGGCTTTGATACCAATTTGAAAGGATTGAAATACCCCAAAGAACAATTTAGACACAAGCAAGAAATTTAGCAAAAGCTATATAGAAGAAATTTATTAAACTAGGGAGAGAACTTGGTAGGACAGTTTTTTCACAACTCATAAACTCTTGAATCTCTCTACGTCGTAGTTACCTCTCTACAATAGAAAATATATAGTAACACCCCTATTTATAATACTACAAAACCAAAATTGACTATAATCTAGAAAACTTATTCCTACATGATTTGGGCTATGAATCCTAATTAGACATAAATTAAATAAACTAGTAAATACCAAATCCTAGATAACTTAAGAATACTAATTAATCTTGATTTAATTTCCAACATATATCTTACATCATATATTAATATCCAATAACAAAATACATGTACAAAAGGTGTGTGAAACATAACCTCTTAAAAAATAGTAGAAGAGTCATAACTCTCCCTTTAACATAAACTTATACCATGGTTTCTTCTTCACAGTTTATCATCATATGGAAAATTCTAAATTCTTTGTTGTCCTTATTAACAAATGAGGCATCTAAATATTTGCTTTGTGGAGAAAATATTCTAATATACCATACTATAACTATTTTTGCTCCTTGAAGTAGTGTCTTTTTACTGATTAAATTCTTTACATCAGTATGTATCGTCGTGTGGTAGTTCTATCTTATGTTTTTGGTTTACTTGTGCTCTCCTTGAAGGGATTTATTCATAGATGTTAAGTGTACTATCTCTCTATTTTTCTAGATTTTTTATTCGCTTAAATTAAAGCTGGAAAAGGAGGGAGATGTATACTTCTATGTAAGGCTGGCACGTGGGCCGATTAGGCCTGGGATCAACTCAGGCCCGCGAGCCCATTAAGGTAGTGGGCCTAAACGAGCCTAACTATTTAAGCCCGGGACCAGTAGATGGGCCTGTAAGTGGACCGGTTACGTCAAAAAGATCGTTAGGACCGGACCGTTTGGGCTCAGGACCGGGTCCTAAGTGAGTCGGTTCAACCGGTCCCAAACGGGCTCAAACGGTCCCAACGGCTAAATTATTAAATTAAAAAAAATCCAAAAAAAAATTCTGACTGTTGGGGGGTTTAAAATATGGTCGTTGGCCCGAAAAAATAGCTGTTTGGACTTTGTAAAATAGTCATTTAACCCTCCCTCCCCCAAACTTTTTATAATTACACTTTTTCCCTATTTTCAGCTATAAATACCCCTTCATTCTTTAATTTTTCTCGCAAAATCATCAATCTCTCTCTAATTTTCTTCTATAATTGGTTACTTTATTGTTGCAATTTGTGTGAAAAATAGTAAAGTTGGTGAATTAAAGTATTCAAGTCTTCAACGATAATTAATTTTCAACAAGTTGTTCGTCAATTCGGTAAACTCGTTCTAACTCTTTAGTTTTAATATTATAGTTTTGTTTGTTTTATTTGCTTTGTATAATTATAATTAATTAAGATAGCATATTCCTTAAAAACATTTAGTAAAAATAAGAAAAAATCCAAGAGTTGTGAATCTAGTGGCCAATCTATTCCTCCTCTAATTCCCCGGGCTCCCCTACCCAAACTCCATACTCGCCCTCCACCTGCTCCTATTCTTGATAGTGATCATACTTTATTATAATTTACTGAGAGTCAATATGTGCATAATGTTGGAGGTGATGAACACTTAGATCATGAATATATGCATTCTCTTTATGGTAATCCAACTATTGATGAAGAAGATGAGTAGAAAATAAATTTAGATGAAACGCAACCAGATGACGATAAACCCACTAGTCCTGTTGCAGAAGTTAACCCAACTAATCCAAATGATGCCCCGGTTAACCCCCTTGTTACTACCCCTACTTTTTCTAGACAACCTTCTAAATGGGCCGAAACGTCTCTTGTTTGGCCATTTTTTTTCAAATAAAAGAAAAAAATAAAGCTAAATGTAAAATTTGTGGCAAAAAGTTAGCTTTTAACTATGTTACTCGGGGGGGACGGGAAGTTTGAGGAAACACATAATGATACACCCTCAAGATAAAGCTAAATATTATCAAATGAAAGCTGCGGCCGGGGGGACAAGTCTACCTAGTCAGCCTGACCCTAGTATCGGTTCAAATCAATTTCAATCGGGAATTAACATTGTTACCGGTGGTATTTTATATTATGACCCAAGAAAAGATAGGGAAGAATTGGCAAAAATGGTTACTGTTATGTGCTTAACCTATAGTTTTCCTTCTAACCCTCACTTTGTTCATTATATTAGAAGAATTTTTAATCCTACTTATAAAGGATGGCCTCGCACAACCGTAAAGAGCGATATTTATAAATATAAACATAAATATGAACAATATTTGCGCTATTTATTTACTCATATTAATTGTCATGTTGCTATTATTATTGATATTGATATAGATGATAATGATTGTGATTATTTTACTGTTACAAGTCATGAGATTAATGAGGACTGGATAATGCAAAAGCGCATTATTACTTATAGAATAATTA